AATATGAAAAAAGAAAAAACTTGAGTCGTGGGATTCGAACCCATGACCATAAAATCGAAAAAAGGTTGGGACGATTCCCCCGAGACATTCTGTGAAGCTGAGGCGGCGAATCGATTTACATTCCGGTTAGAGATTTCGGCTCTTCCATGCTATCCCGATAATTGGTCCTAACTTCGCGCTAACTAAAAAGCCAGTGAGGGAGAAGCTATCCGGCCCCTAGACACTGATGGATAACCCCTTGCACTAACTAGGCAACTATCGAAAGTATAATGTCAAATTGGGGTAGTCTATTCGGTGAAAGTGTCAAGTGGTCTATTATTATGTAAATGAGAGTGATCCAGTGGCGCACCGCGTTAAGGCGCCGCTTGCAAATCCAATGTAGGTTTGACGGTAGCGGGATCGATTCCCTGGAGGAGACGTTTAATGATTTTGTTTTTTTCTTTTTATTTTATTTATTGTTTATCTTTTTTTTTTATTTATTTATTTTTGAATAATAATAATCACTATGTTTCACTTTCCCGAGAACCGTCTTTTTTTTACGAAGTGGATAAATGATCGGCTCCCGTTGAAAGTCTTCGATGTACTAACATACTCAGTGAGTGCTAGCTTTGTTTTGGCAAAAAAAATCATTTATATCTTTATTAACAATCTAAAAAAAAGATTTCGATTCATATTATAAAGTTCTATTTCGAGCAGCTTTAGCTTCTTGTCGCACTTAGCGTGACGCTAAATGAGCGCGGGAGTTTTAAAATGTACAAAACAAATACCAAATATACTATCTAAGAATTGAAAAATCTTTTATAACTTTATTAGCAAACTAAAAAAAGATGTCGATTCAATATTGTAACGTTCTATTTCGAGCAGCTTTAGTTTCTAGGTGATTTGAGAAAATGCGACTATCCAATCAGCGCAAAGCTGACAAGCTTATGTTGTAAACATAACCCCCCGACGGGAGGAATTTGCACAGCAAAACTCGACCCAGTGGAGTAGGCTGCCTGTCATTTTATTCTATCCGAAAAATTGAAGCTAAAGGGCAAAGAGAAATTGAAAATCTTTATAAAATAGCTTTTAAATTTGAATCAAATATTTATCGTTATAGAAATTGAATTTTATCTTAAAAATGAAGTAACAAATATTTTTTTCTTTTATACCACGAGACTACCATCCCTGATAAAAATAATTGGTCTGTGTTCTACCACAGGGAGCACAGGCTCTTTATCAGTGGTTCTTATGTACACCACCCCTCCCCTCCCCTCTATATTTACCGTTATTTTGAAGAGTTTATGTGGTGTTATTGAATCGAGAGTTTCTCGCTTGAATTTTAATAAATCGAAACAAAACTCAAAAATGTTGTTATTGATGTATTGTGCAATCCTCTGACAAAGTTTCAGCCGATTTCCTTGGGTTTAAGTGCCTTTCTCCCCACCAAGCAAAGAAGAAAAAATGAGCTACTCGAATAGAGTGATTTACAAAAAAAATTACAAGCGCGCGCCTGCATCGGAGTTGACTGTCCTTCTGAGGGACAAAACTGAATCACGGCTCACGCTATAAAAAATATTCACGCCTCACGGCTAATTTTCTCGCATTTTCACGACTAACGGCTAATTTTTCAGCCGTTTCACGGCTCACGGTTAACCCCATTGAGACCCTCGAATCTTGTAGGGAAAAAGTCATAATAAGTGATAATAGAAAGACGTTATTTCCAATGAAAAGAGCAGAAGAAGCTTCAAACATCTGTTGCGGTGCGAATTAATTGGGGATTCTTTGAATTGTGATCCTGAATTAACACTATAGAGAAAATCAATTGGCATTAAATATGTTTTTTGAATTCTTTATGAAGTGCAAAGCTCCATGTATAACCGCAGCTAATAAGAAATGAGGTCTAAGTGAACTAGTGGTCAGTCTGGTGTCAAGGTTAGTAACTCAATTCGATGTCTATACTAGTATCCACAAGAGTTTGAGCTAAAGCGATTAATCTGCAAAGTTAAATTGCAAAGGAAAATACTTT